TTGAAGGGGCAATTTGACCTCACAAGGAAAGTCAATTTATCTCCACATTCTGAGTTACCAGTACCTCTAAATTAATTAGCTGAATACTTTTGAGAATTTCCCATTTGTCTGGATATTGAAGGACATAATATATAGTAAAGTCAATTGATACTGAACTTGGATATATTTTCTATTCTCTGAAGACTTAATTGAGAGTCACAGTTCCCTAGATAAACACTACCAGACATGTCTGCCTCATTCTTCCCATCTCAAAGTAATTCAATTTGGTAAAGAAAAGAATGCATTGTATTATCAGGTATTTCAACCAAGAAAAAAATGAATTTTCTTTGCCCCTTTCCCTTCACTTCTGTAGCAGTCTCATAAGTTTTAAAATGCAGTTAAAGAACCCAAAACTGTAGAACTTTTTCCATCCTCAGAAGTCAGATATGCAAACTTAATAGCATTCCACAAATACTTCGTGTGGCTATACAGGCTGAATCCGGGGGGATCAGACCTGGTCTGAAACAGTTCTTGCTGATCAGTTTCTACAGAATTATACAGAAGAATTCTGGCATCATTGCAAAAATGAGAATCCTCTTGCCTTTTACTTTATACACAGAAGGAGAATGAAAGCAGGTATGAAGGAAAGTGCTTTAAAGTTGGGAAGTTTCTTATGTAATATACTGTTACCTCTCTCGGGTTTCTAGCATTCTTCAGAACTACCACAAAATGTTTGGACTAAAGCTCCATATTTAGCAGTATCTCAAAATAACCATTTAAATTAATTGTTAATTACATTATTTTAAGCTTTATAGAAAAGAATGAGAAGAAGGTTATTGGTGTGGTAGTGAAGAAAACAAACTAAATCAGATGGTTCTTACTCCTACAGTAATTGGTTCTATTTATTTATTTCCTATAGTAATTGTTCCCGAAAATGAAAGAAGGAATATTTCCATTGCTTGCCTTTTATAATCCTAATGCTGAATTGATAGACAAGTGAGGAGAGGTACACGTACAGCAGTCCTCAAATGGTCCCAAAAAACCCATTTTTAAGTAATTCCCTCACTTTATACAGAATCGTCCTCCATCAGCAACATAGCTTAAGAACTACTATACTGTATGGATCATAGGTGCATATTTTTTCACATTTTAGGGTCCCTAAAATCCGAACATGTTTTATAGTTTTTGGTATCTTACAATTAATTGACAACAATTTTCTTTCATAGTAGTACATGAGATAATTCAGCCTCATGTGATTTTGATTGCATATGACCTTTGATGAAATACAGGATTTATAATAATACTTCATCAAAGGGTTTTCTGGGATGTCAGTATGCTTTGTTATTTCTACCTTTAACAAAATGATTTGTAAAAGGTTTACTTCCCAAATAAACACTATATTTAAAGAAGGATTTTAGGATTTCTTTTAGATTTCTGTGTACCAAACAGCAGTTGAGATGTTGGGAAGTCAGTATTTGAAAATGGAGATTAAATACCAATCGATAGATATTCTTCTAAGTAACCAGAAATGGTTCTCCTTTTGAGCACATGCCTGTCAGAACAACACACACTTGATGAATGACACTGTCAAACCAAAAGCAGTAGGTTAACCTTAGAAATGTCCTGTTAAGGGATTACAGGTAACTTTTTTTACTTCCCTGTTTTTCAGAATTTTTTTGAATGAAGAGATATTACTATTTTTTTGTTTACATAGTAAAGGCTACTTAATAACATGGCACAATCTTGGGATCAAGACAATAACAATACTGGCATAGTCTCAAATTCTACCCTTCAAATAATAAATGTGGTTTGGGCTATGTCATTTATACCTCAATAAGGCTTTTTTCAAAAGGAGTCATAGTTGGAAAGATGATTCCTATCATAGAAGTATGACACAGTGAGGTAAAAACGTAAAGAAAGCAAGGAAGTCCTCCTGAGATTTGGGACAATTTCAAAGAGCAGGTAACCCTCAGGCTTCTGTGCTGAGCCTTGAAGGAAGGGTGAAGTTTGCCAGGCAGAAGACACACAGTGGCAGGACAGGCATCCCAAGGAGAAGGAGAGGGTGCGAAGGCGGGAAGCTCTTGCCTGACTTTTGTGACATCCTTCCCATCCCTGGGTTATAGTAATCTGTGTCACATCATCTCCTCTACGGACTCTGTGCACTCCCGGGCCCTGGAGGCAGGGATTTCAGCACAAAGGGATTTCAATAAAGCCCCTCTGTATGCCTTAAGGAGCCTGACAGAGAACCTTGCAGACCTAGTAGAGTGCTCCCAGGGGCGGCGGAAAGGAGACCGCACACATGGGGTTAGCAACTCCCCAGTCATCTCTTTACAGAAGAATTTTGCAAAGGGAGATGTGGCCTTTGAGACTGAAGGGATTGGTATGAGGGCATGTAGGTGTCTGGATGGAATCACAGGAAATGCAAAAAGGGGAAGGACTTCAGTGCCTGGGCCCTTTGGAGGGAGGGGCTCTTGTTTGCTCTGCTCTATACCCAGCCTGGCTCTGGTTTCGCAAAGGATAAAGGATTCCTACACTCTGTAGGGTTTTGCAGCTGGCTGGGCAGGGCAGTCACTCCTCTAAGCAGCAGCAGCCATGGGCCCTGGCATTGGCCCACAGAGACCTCATCAGGATGAAGGGTCCTCTGGACCCAAACTTGAGAGGAGCCTCATAAAGTAACTCACGCCATCCACCAGGGACAAGCAAGATGCTGGACAAGGTCAGTCAGAATGATGACAGGATGTCATTTGTACCCACAGAGTGGCACAATCTAGAAACCATAGGCTTAGAGTCAATATTTTTGAGCTAATGTTTGTTGGTTCAGTGTACCACTGAGAAGACATCAGCTGTAAACATGAGATTACATATTACAGACAAATTTCTTTATTTTAATTTGCCCTTCCAAAAGTCTCCTCTCCAGAAGGGCAGACTTGAGCTTGTTCTTTTTCTTCAAGGCAAAGCTCATTATTATGAGTGTTACCATTAAAGGCATCTGTGTACAACTCTGCTTAACAGAGTGGGGATCCTTTCCATTTCTTCCCACCAACCCCTGCTCTCTAGTCTGGCTTGTTTCATAATGTTGCAGTGGAATTACTTTTAAAACATATGTGATTGCATGGATTTGAATATGCAACATGTCACATTAAAAGACTTGCCCCATAACAACTATAGTCATGGAGCAAAACTCTAATATAATACATTAAGCCGTATAATGGATATGAATTCCATTTCACTGGGTTTTTGTTCCATATGCTAAAATTATAAAGGAACTTCACTGAACTTTATGTGCTGCTACTTGTTTTTTTACATTCCTAACATCTCCATTCATTCTTTCATACTGCTCCCTTATTTCTCATACTAAATGGGAATTGTGCAGGATAAAAGATGAGAATTCTCAAAATAAAATTTGCATTTAACTTCAGGTTCAATTGCTTTTTACCTGGGAAGTTAACTAAACTCAAAATACTGTTTGGCAATGACTTTCTGCCATTTCAGATAAATGGAAATCTGTAATCTTTCCACCCACCACACTGTGAAATTGACAACAGTTATTTAGCAGAATGTCCCTGATGAAGTGGTTGCCAGCCTCATCTGCAGAAAGGTGATGAGAATAAAGGTACATTCGAAGGGAAGTAGTTTAGATTAAAAGTCAATAATATAATAGGTCCTAAATATAAGAATTAAAACCATAAACCTCATAGAAGAAAACATAGAGATAAAACTTCATGGCCTTAGATTTGTCAATAGATTCTCAGATATGACACCAAAAGCATGAGCAATAAAAGAAAAATAAGTTGAAATTCATCAAAATTAAAACTTTTGTTCATTGAAGGACATTACCAATAAAGTGAAAAGACAACCAAATAGGAAATATTTACAAATCATGTATCTGATAAAGGTCTAATAGCAGAATATATAAAGAACACTTTCAAAAAACAGCAAAAAGGAAAAAAAAATTAAATAGGTAAAGTATTTGAACAGACCTTTCTCCAAAAAATATACAATGGTCAATGAACACATGAAAGCAGGCTCAACATCATTAGTCAATAGGGGAATACAAATCAAAACCACAATGAAAAAACACACTTACTAGGATGGCGATAATAAAATTGTAAAAAAATTGAAAGAAAGTAGCAAGTGTTGATTAGGATGTGGAGAAATTGGAACTCTCATACATTGCTGGTAGGAATGCAAAATGATTTAGCCACCATGGAAAAGAGTTTGACATTCCTCAAAAAGCTTCACATGGCATCACCATATGGCCCCACAATTCTACTCCTCGATATATACCCAAGTGGATTGAAAACAGGAACTCAAACAAGTACACGTGCATGTGTGTTCATTGCAGCACTATTCATAATTCCTAAAAGGTGGTGAAAACAGCCTGTGTCCATTATGGGTGAATGGGTAAAGAAATTGTTACACAGACATACAATGGAATATTATTTGGGCATTAAAAAGGAATGAAGTACTGATATATGTTATGATATGGATAAACCTCCAAAACTGCTAAGTGGAAGAAGCCAGATGCAAGGGTCACACGTTATATGATTGTTCTTCTATGAAATACCCAGTATAGATAGATTCATAGCAACCAGATGCAGATCGGTGGTTATCATGGACTTTAGGGACAGGGGATGGGGAAACACTGCCTAATGCATGAGGAGTTTCATTTTGGAATGATGGAAATATTTTGCAACTAGATAAAAATGGTGGTTGTACAACACTGTGAATGCACTAAGTGCTACTGAATGATTCACTTTAAAGTGGTTAATTTTATGTTATGTGAATTTTACCTCAATAAACAAAACTACAAGTCCATAATACAAAAGAGAAGTAAGTGGTTGTGAACTGTATAACCAGAACTGCTTAACAAGCACATTTGCGTAATGTCTTCCATTACAGTAGCTCTTAGAGACTGTGATCAGTAATTAGGTTCTAAATGACAAGTAATGTGTCTCACATGCAACTTGGGTTTTGAAAATCAAAATAAGAGAATTAATTGATATTTCTTGTTGTTTTAGGACTCTCAGCTTGTTTCCTCTGGACACAGTAATCCAAGTAAGAAAGGCTTCTCTCTATAGCTTCATATGTGGGGACCGGAGGGTGGAGGGCATGAGGAGGGGAGGTGTGTGCAACAGACAGTAGGTTTAAAAGAATTTCACTAAAACAAAAATTACGTGGGAAAGAAAGAGGGCCATTTGTTTAAGTACTGTCCAATGGATAGGATTCATTTATAGGACATTGAGTGTTCCTCTATCTTTATTCAAGGGATGAAGGACCAAAACAAAAAATGGGGAGTTTCAGAGCCGTCCTAAGAGGAAAGTTATTATAGTTAGTCTCTGGCATATGTGGAGGGCAAACATCAACTAATGAGCTACCTAAATTGAAAAAAAAAAAATGTGTAGGCAAAGAGAACCAGTCAGAAGGCCTCAAGATAAATGGCCTTAGAATCTATGATGGAACCATGCCCTTTTCCAGGGATATAAGCTTAGATGTGGGAAGGAGTTTTTTTAATGAATTCAGTGTCTAATAAAACACATGGGCTCCATCACCAAAGATAGGATATTATCATTCCAGGAAGTAGTGTTCTGATTCTCTTCTTTGACACTACTAATTGGCATTTATGTTTTCTAGAGCATTAAAGATGCATAAGCTACTGTTCATGTCGTGAAAGCATGCCCATAAAGAATGGGCTTTGTTAGTTTCATGACCAGCGAGTTAGCTGAGAGCACCCCTTGACTATTACAAAGCTATCTTTGAACATGAAAATCACTCCGAGCTAGTAAATGTGCCTTTGGAACTGAGGCTCACCCACTCAGCGTCTGTGAAGGCAGAAGGTTTAGGGAGAGAAGACACCCAAACAAATATGTTAGGAAGCCCCAGACTTCTCATGTTCAGCTAGAGAATGGTCAGGGTAGACAGACAGTGTCATAATGATGCATAGACATTGTTACTTAATTATCCCACCCCTGTTTGGGGATTTGTTGTGAGCACCAGCACCAGTGGAGGGATGAAATGCCAAGTGACTTAAAATCTAAAGAAAATTATAAATTCGATAGTAAGGAAAGGAATCAAGGAATCAGAAGAAATGCACGGTTAAGTAGTGAGGTGTGCGGGCATCCACATCCTATGCCCAATGAGCATCCTGAAGAGTTTCCGCTACTTTCCTTGCTGTTCCTGCTCATTTGGATTTAAACAGATCAGGGTGAAGGGAAAATACAACAGATGAATGAATGCATTTTCTCCCAGCTTGGAGTTTTAGACGCATGGAACAAGCAAAAGAGCTGTGAGTCTCTTCTATGTTCCAGCCCCTAGACATACATATTATTTCACTTGATCCTAACAATAACTGTATGAGGTTGGCATTATCATTCCCATTTTACAAATGATGAAAATAAGATTCTGAGGTCAATAACTAGCTCAGGGTCACATGATTTTAAAAATGACAGGTAGGATTTGAATTCAGGGATCTCTGCCCCAAAGGTAACAGTTTCCGTCCTATCACCTTGATCCTAAGAAGGTTGCTTCTGTCATTTCTCTGTGAGTTTCAATTCTTGACTAAGAATTGTATACTGTGATTTTTGTACACATGTTGTGTATTTTTATGGCATATCATAATATTCACATGTTTATACTACAACTTAGATGATGTGAAAGCACATGCCTTCTAGGGAAATGTGGGCTGGCACTTGCCTTATGTGGTACAAAACCCTCTGACATTTCATTGTATAGGGAAATTTGTGATGGTTTTCTCTTTTCTGAAGCTAAAGGGAGTGCTTCTGTGTACTTTTCAAGTAAACCTTCCTCATAAAGTCAAGCGCATGTATAAAAAGGTTAGTATCACTGATTAAAAATCTGAGCATTCTCTGTAGATCATAGCACATTTGAAACTCTAAGAGAGCTAATCCCACTATTTCTTGTGCTGTTTCTTATATTTGGTTTGGAATCATGACAGTTTGGAATGTTTTTGGAATCATGACTCCAATAAATATGTAGAAAATAGAAAAAAATCTGAATTTCAGAAAAACCAAATACAAAACGTGTATGTGTGAATGAACAAACTAACTTTCCATACTTTAGGTTAGTTTTTTCTTTTTGAAATTAGAAAAACTATATTATGTAGATTCTAAGGGAAAAGAGTGTATAAATTAAACAATTGTTTAAATCCAGATCTTTTACAAGATAGATACATAAGTTTACTGAACTGCTGATTAATATTATAAAAGAGAAGCTTAGTAAGCATTGAGAAACTTAAGTATTAAAATAGACGATGTATGTTTACATTTCTTAAACATTACAAGTATCCTGTTCAAGTGGCAGGCTGAGCGTCAGCACATCTTCCCATCCCTTCAGAATCCGCATAAGTAACCATAAAGCTATAGTGATGGAGATAAATCCATAATAGCTCTGAGAACAAGAAGGGATGCCACCGACAATCCAGAAATTCATTTGAGTTCCTGGGAAACAGAGGTAGAAGGACCACACTGTCAGTTAGTCCTGGGTCATGACCCAGGAGAAAGAAGGAAAACAATGAAACTAACAGGAACCGGTCCCAGTGGTGGTGGGAGCTCCAAGAGACGACAGATGGCCACTCAACCCAATGGAGACCAGGCGTGGATGTAGGCAGTGACAGGAGCATGTGGGCCATTCTCCCACCCACAAATGCCCCCCATCATCCTAATTGGTTCTCATGCAGAGCATTCAGTTTAATTTTCCTCCCAGAAAGCCCAAAAGACCAAAAAACATAGTGATACTTGCTAAGAAAATAAACAGCAGACTAGAACTAGTTGGAAGCTGACACCTAGGAGAAAAGTAGAATAGATTCTGAGATAAGAAAACTAAGACCTTAAAAACAGACATACATGGGAGGAGGGAGAACAGTCAACTATTCTCAAGAAGAAAATAAGCAAAATGCTGCATACCCAGAGTAATGTACTTCCAATTTTTGTCGGGGGTGTGAGAAGAGAGTCAGGACTTACAGCTTGCCTCGAGGCCTCTCTTTTCCTGAACCCTAGATAAAGCATGTCCACTTTCACAGAGCTCTAAATCAGGCTTTCTTACAAGGGAAAGGTGTGTTAGGAAAGCAGAGCAGTATACAAATGTAGAAAATCCACACCAATTACCTTTATCAACCGTTACCATTCAGCAATGGGAACACGTAACCCCTGGGCACCAAAGGAAAGAACTGGCCCAGAGGTCATCAGTCCACTTAATTCAAGGGACAGAAGAAAAAGTTTTCATGTGTCATTACAGTCTTCAGAAACATTTGTAATTATTTGTATTTAATGAAAAGAGAATAGATTGGTATGAAAAAGAATCAGTTACAAAATAAATGATCACTTGAGAATTTAAAACATGGTCAATAAAATTTAGGAATTTAATAGAAACCATAGGTATAGCTACAGTCTAGAGCCTGGAATATAAGGTTGAAACTCTTTTCTGAATATAAAGCATGAAAGGAAGTTAAGATACATGGATGACCAATCAGGGTGGAAAGGTCAAAATCCAGCTAATAGTAGTACCAGAGAAAGAAAGAAAATGAAAAAGATAAATGACAGTAGAAATAGAATTCCAAGGGACATGAGCAATTCACTGTCAAAAATACTTATGTACTAGGAAAAAAGACCATAAACAAGAGCAAGGAAAGACAACAGATAGCAGAGAATTAGATAGAACTGCTAGGACCTAAGATAGTGGAATTAACAAGCCCGGAATATAAAATAAGAGGGCTTTTTAATTTCCAGAAATAAAAGAGAGGCTTGAAAATGTGGTAAAGAACAAAAAGATTTGAAGTACTAATCAGAACCTCTAGAGGGGAAAAGATATGGCAGAAATTAAAATTTCTTTCATCAGATTTAACAACAGATTAAGCACAGCTGAAGAAAAGGATTAATGAATTGGGAAATTGAACTTAAGAAATTATCTAGAATGCAGCTCAAGAGACAGAAATGGAAAATACAAAATGGAAGTGTAAGTAGAATTCTAGAAAGAGAAAAGGAAATAATAAAGGAGATAGTGGCTGAACATTGTGCAGAATGAAAGACACTGAGCCACAGATTCAAGAAACCCCAATGAATATCAAACAGGCTAAAGAAAAAGAAGTCCACACTGGATACATTATAGTCAAAACTGCAGGTCACGTAAAGAAAAAAAATCGTAAAATACTCTTTAATACCTTCAAAGAAGCAACAATTAAACCTCTAATTGACTTCTTAAACAGAAGCAGTGGGAGCCAGCAGAGAAATTATAAGTTCACTTTTGGACATGTGGAAGTTGAAAGCTGATTCTCAAATTTATTTGATAGGACAAAGGGCTATGGACAGCTCAGACACTTCTAAAAAGAAGAAGGTTGGAGCTTTGCTTTACCAATATTAAAAATAAATAAATAGTTTTAGCTAAGTAATCAAGACAACAAAAGACAGATTGAGCAATGAAACAGAATAGAAAAATCCAGAAATAGACCCAAATATGAATACTAGATGCATAAGAGAGCTGATAATATAGACCAGTGGAGAAGGAATGGGCTTCTTAATAAGCAGCACCATAATAATTGGTTACCAAGAGGGAGGAAAATGAAATTAATCCCTACCCGGTGTCATATACAAAACTATATCAGGTATTTTTGAAAACACCTAAATGTGAAGAGTAAAAGTATGTGCTTCCAAAAGATAATACAGAATATCTTTCTGATGTATTTCTTATATAAAACAAGTGTCAAATAAAAGAAACTGTTGATAAATTAAAGTATATTAAAATGTAGTACTTATAATCATCCAAAGACACCAGAAAAAGAGTCACAAGACACTAGGAAAACTTACTTGAGATGTGTGTGTAAGTATATAACATTTTTATCAAAGCAATAAAATGTTTCTGTGAATTAAAAAGAAAAATACTACTGCAAAAATACATTTTAAGAACTGAAAAGAAATGTCCCAGAAGAGGAAGCACAAAATATCCTCCTCATCAGAACTCAGAGAAATGCAAACAATGCAACAAAATTGCATGGTACATTATTAAATCAGAAAAACACTTTGAAAGTTTAACTATATAGGAATTTG